GGGAGGGGGATGGAGGGGGAGAGGGAGGGGGAGGGAGAAATGGAGAAAGGAATGAAACTACCTTTTGAAAAATTACTGGTAATTTTTCCAGAACTTTAGACATAAGTCTCCAAATTGAAGTGTCAATGAATGAATTTGAATTGTAAAGTAAATAAGTCAAATCAGAGTATCACAGTGAAATTACAAAACAGGGGATAGAAAAGCACCTGAGAACTTCCAGAGACAAAAGGGTGCTATACAAAGGAATCAAATTCAAAATGAAGCTCTCAACAGCAACCCAGAACCTTAGAAGGTGCCATCAAACTGCTGCAGAGGTTAGATGCCTTGTAACCTAGAATTCCTTGTCCAGGGAAACCCTCAGCTGAGTGTGGGAATAGATTAATGGCACTTTCAGTCTTGCTAGGACTCATTGACGCCTTCTGTACTATTTGTGGAAAGCTACTCAGGAAAGCCACTAAATTTCTCTTTCAAGAAAATGAGAGTGAAGCAAAAAAGAGAAATGAAGGGATCTGGGAGACAAGAAATCTAATACCATGGGAGAACAGTTAGATTTAAGAATGAATTGTGCACAGGACTAGAGAGCGAACAGCCTCAACCCAAACAGGAGTGAGGGCAACAGGAAGAAAGGCTGAAGCAGGGTGTTCACAGCAAGCGCGCAACAGCTGCGTGTGGGAGCCTGGAAAAATCTGGGGAGGCATGTGATAAATCTTTGACAGCCTTTGGGAAATCTGAAGATGAGAAGTTAGTATCACTAATCTCAGTTTTCACATTTAAGTTATTCAACTCCTTAACCTTTGTGCTTACATGGCTATTTTACTGTGTCTTTCACTTGCGAAACAAGGCAAAAAAGAACCCTCAAAGATTAGTAACATTGTTTTTAAATTATCAACTCAATATCATACAAATCACACCATCGTATTTTCTGTATCACAATAATTCAATGAAATAATTTTCATGAATATTCTTTTACGAAGACACACTATAGTTCCTTGGATAAAGTCCAATTTCTTTCATTTGTAGTCATTTCATATTCACATTTCAACTTTTAATGGCATGAAGAAAGTGCTATTTCAAGAAAATTTCAATGTCATGTAGTTCGGATCTGTATGTTCTGGTAAAATGAGACCTAATCTGCTAAACTGTGTCTATCCTGCTCTCAAGAAATCTTTAAATAAAGCAAAGCCTTTTCATCTTAGGTGGTGCCTGTCTACCTGCTAATTCTTACACTGTCATTTTTGCCTTATTCGAATAATGTGAAACTTTTATAACCTTAATTCTTCTTTCCTGGCCCACTATAAAAATTCTAATAAATATCTCACAATTTTAAGTTATTACAAAGTGAGATAATCTCTTTTTCTAGACCAAACACCCTAACACTTTCTTAAAAGTTCTGCTTTTCTCATCTTTACACTATTATTTTTCATTGGTTATCTTTTTCAATTTTTTTCTTACTGTGAAGATGAACTGGAACCCAATTTTTCATTAAGGAGCTAATTTATACAGATAAATGCAATTTATCTGTATGATTATTTAGCTGTTTTTGAAAATGAAGAAAAATGAATTAGTAAATGATTAATATTTAGGTTACTTTTAAAAATTCAACAATTCCTATTTGTGCTAGGTTTTTTGATATCTATATAATTCTTTCTATTTTTTATAATTCCTAAGTATACTGACTTTTACTGAATTTCATCCTATACCAGGCTATGTTTGTTCTTTGAATAGGGTATGCTGGTATAGGGTAGTCTTGTAAACATATATAAATATAAAACAAATACTTTAGGACAAGTTATTTTAAAACAAAATGCAGGAGATTCTTCAAAAGTAGTTATAAGACTGTTCCCTTAATTTTTCATAAAGACATAAGGCAAAACACAGCTGTATATATAAACTCATGAGTCTCATTTTTTGTGGCAGTAAATCTTCCCCCACACTTGTGCTTCCAATATAAAGCTGATAAGACTTTTACATTCAAGAGTCATAGGTTAAATAAAGGAAAGGAAATGTTTTTTGTCAAATAGTCAGGTAACCACTAACAGTTCAAGTTATCAGCAGGAACCTAACTTACCTTAATCAAATAAAACTAAAGAAACAGCCTTTCCGTAGAAAAACGTCTAATATCTAGAGACTGTTTTCCTGTCTGGAAAACTGACACAAAATGTGTGAAATTGAAATGTTCTGCTTCTAAAAGATTTGCCCAAAGAAAGAGTGTGAAAGCTCCAAGTTTGGTGTGAGCTACAGGGGGCGAAGGGCAGAGGAGGGCCACAAAGGCCACATGCCAGTCTTCCTGGGCAGGACACTGCACTTTGAGCCCTCAGCAACAATTTCATAGTTGTAAGATTAGTTAAACAAATTAGGGGGAATAAGATATTTCTTGCATTTTTGCTAGCTCATGAAAATAATTCTAAATACAAATAATAGCAAGGTTTAAATTAGTAATATCTCAGGGATATTTCTGAAATCTCATTAAACTAGTATAGACATGTCACAGAGCTAAAGCATACACCAGTGGCTGAAATTCAAAATTACATATCAACCTTTACATTACATAAATCTCAGTTCTAGTATTTCTTCTAAAAAGTAAACAGAACAAATAGGAATCAAATACATTTACTTTCAAATCTTATAATAGCAAAAATCCAGCAGAAAAAGAACACATTTTTTTAATAGCACCATGTACAGATTTTCTAACTTAGGTAAATCTAAATTACTTTCAAGTCTTATAATAGCATCGCCCAGGAATGGAGAAAAGGAGTTTTAAAGCATTATGGACAAATACTGTAGCTCAGAACTCCAGGAAGTTTTTGCTAGAGGTGTGTGTAAATCATCTAGCAGAGTGCGTCCCTTATAGTGAACAAACTGAATGATATTGCTGTTAGTTTGTTATCAGTATTATTATCATCTCTAACCTAAAAGGCTCTGCTATTCAAGAAATTCAAGAAACACTTATTTTTTGCTTTCCTAATTGAAGTTTACTACTAATTTGTACTTATTTGCATTAAAAAAATCTCAAATTCTTAATTATACTTTATTTACATTATGACTACTCTTTAAGGACTTCAAATAGTTTAAACTGCTCAATAACAACAAAAACTCAAAAGACATTTATAAATATTTTTCTTTTGAAATTTATATCATCAAACATTAGATGGTAACATAAATGAAAAGGTTTTTTGTGAAAATACACTTGACCGCAATAGAAAATAATTTAAAGTGTTTATAGGACATTGTAAAGACAACAGGAAAAATACTAATTTCTATCTAAGAATCTTATATCATTTGATTCTGAAAATGACCCGAGTAATCAATCCAGCATTATTTCATAATAGAATATCTAAAAATGTAGTATGTTTCCACACAAATGTACTTACGTTGCACAAAAGACACAACTTCAAGAACAAGGTATTAAAACTTGGCATATGCAAAATTCTTCATATATTCCAGATAAAGAAATAAGTAACTAATTTAAAAAAACTACAATCAACTGGCACAAGAACAGAGCCACAGACCAGTGGAACAGAATACAGACTCCAGATATTAACCCAAACATATATGGTCAATTAACATATGATAAAGGAGCCATGGACATACAATGGGGAAATGACAGCCTCTTCAATAGCTGGTGTTGGCAAAACTGGACAGCTACATGTAAGAGAATGAAACTGGATCATTGTCTAACCCCATACACAAAAGTAAATTCGAAATGGATCAAAGACCTGAATGTAAGTCATGAAACCATAAAACTCTTAGAAAAATACAGGCAAAATTCTCTTGGACATAAACATGAGCAACTTCTTCATGAACATATCTCCCTGGGCAAGGGAAACAAAAGAAGAAATGAACTAGTGGGATTATATCAAACTAAAAAGCTTCTGTACAGCAAAGGACACCATCAACAGAACAAAAATACCTCCTACAGTATGGGAGAATATATTCATAAATGACATACATATCCGATAAGGGGTTGACAACTAAATTATATAAAGAGCTTATGCACCTCAACAAACAAAAAGCAAATAATCTAATAAAAAAATGGTCGGAGGAGCTGAACAGACATTTCTCCAAAGAAATTCAGATGGCCAACGGACACATGAAAAGATGCTCCACATCACTAGTCATCAGAGAAATGCAAATTAAAGCCACAATGAGCTATCACCTCACACCAGTTAGGATGGCCACCATCCAAAAGACAAACAACAACAAATGCTGGTGAGGTTGTGGAGAAAGGGGAACCCTCCTACTGCTGGTGGGAATGTAAATTAATTCAACCATGTGGAAAGCAGTATGGAGGTTCCTCAAAAAACTAAAAATAGAAATACCATTTGATACAGGAATTCCACTCCTTGGAATATACCCAAAGAATACAACTCAGATTCAAAAAGACATATGCACCCCTATGTTTATCGCAGCACTTTTTACAATAGCCGAGATCGGGAAGCAACCTATGTGTCCATCAGTAGATGACTGGATAAAGAAGATGTGCTACATATATACAATGGAATACTATTCAGCCATAAGAAAGAAACAAATCCTACCATTTGCAACAACGTGGATGGGGCTAGAGGACATTATGCTCAGTGAAATAAGCCAGGTGGAGAAAGACAAATGCCAAATGATTTCCCTCATTTGCGGAGTATAACAATGAAGCAAAACTGAAGGAACAAAACGGCAGCAGACTCAGAGACTCCAAGAAGGAACTAGTGGTTACCAAAGGGGTGGGGTGTGGGAGGGAGGGAGAAGGGGACTGAGGGCTACTATGTTTAGTACACATGGTGTGGGGGGTCACGGGGAGAACAGTGTATCACAGAGAAGGGACATAGTGGATCTGTGGCATCTTGCTGCACTGATGGACAGTGACTGCATTGGGGTGTGGGTGGGGACTTGATAATATGGGTGAATGTAGTAACCACATTGTTTTTTCATGTGAAAGAGTGTATATTAATCATACCTTAATGAAAAATTTAAAAAACAAAAAGAATCAACCTACAGTTGGAAGCATAATACTCTTCGGGATAAAACATAAGTTTTAAATACAACTGTTAACCAGATGAAAAAGTTGTTCCTGAAGGAAGAGTGGGGGCACATTCTACTCCTTATAAAGCAGTGAAACATTTACTTGTGAATAAAGAATTGGGAAAACTTACCCAACTCTAACAAACATTCCCCGTGAATTTACAGCCTAACCTTCAAAGAATAATATGATTGCAGCTCCATAAGCAAATGAACAGAGTGAATCAATGTTATACCACAGTTTTCTTTGCAGTATTTTAATTATTAAATTATACACTATTTCTTTTCCTATAAACATTTCTATAGAATCTACCTTGACCAGATTCATAGTGTCATCAGAGTGCAGAGTACTGTTTGTGGAATGCATCTGGATATCTGATTCACCAGGACCTAAAGGGAAGCAACTTTCAGGACTCTTCTTCCTCAACAGCCAGCAGTTCAAATTCTAGGTCCACACACAGAAGATACTCTCTGAGCTCTTAATTTAAATACACTGAGTCAAGGCAGATAATGTAAGCGCTTGGAACAGGACAGGCAGGATTTAGGTCAAACTAGCAAATGGCACAACTGAAAACCTACTGCTTGCTTCCAGATCATTACTGCTGGTGGGATTCCCAGAGTCAGCAATTATTCCCATTTAGTGAAAGGAATTAGAAACTTAATTTACATGCAAAACTTAACTGAAATTGTAAGGTTAGAAACATCTTCGGAATTTTAAATACCATGTGGCCAAATAAAACACCTCTCTAAACAGTTCTGTCCAGAATCAACAATTTACGACCATAGCTTTAAGGCAGTAATTTACTTTAAAAACCCAAATTCTGGGTCAGTGACAGAAAATATCAGTTTAATCAAATTTTTTTGTATCCTATTTACTATGTAAAACATATATCATTTGAACTCAGATCTTAATATTTATTTTTTCAAAAATAAACCCACAAAAACTAATCTTTAAAAGAGCCAATTCTTTCAAGAAATATTTTTACTGGTATATGTTTAAACCTAACCAATGCTATAAATAGAAAGCAAATAAAATTGTTTTTCAACTTACTTTGATTTAGAGAAAACAGATAAAATATACAAGTATATAAAAGCATATTTTAACACCCTGAGCATAACGAAGTACAAAAGAAAGACAGAGTTAACCTCCTGCGATGCAGCTTCTCCTCCAAGTGCTCACCTAAGGATGCACAGGCAGATTCTGCCTCCTGGTGTGAGTCTGCAGAATCCAAATCTCTGTTTACTTTCAATGTCTGTCAGGACGAAGGTAAAGTGCTGTCCAACTTGATTCTGAGACACTCTACAATACAGTAATATCGTTAAGACTTTAAGCCTTGTACGAGAATTATCTTAAAAAAAAACAAAAGCAAGAATATATGTTTACAGGGCATTGGTTTTACCTTGCAATTCAGTTAGTTCTCAAAGTCAGAACTATGTCCTAAAAGTATAAGGAGTTTGAAATGTGTGAACCAAATCACGAGTCAAATATCAAAGTAAGTTGTAACACTTTATAGGCCGAGCAATTGAGCACCTACTACTCCCTTACTAGGGAATCATAAGATGTCTTGGCATCAGTTTTCACATGGTAAAACTAGAAATACTTACAAAATATTTCATAAATTATGAAAATATCAGTACAGAAACTAGGTAAGTCCTGGACATGGTGACTGAGTCTGCTCAGCTGTAGGTTCTCTTTCCTGATTATTCTAAGACTACTTAGATAGCAAATCACGCTGCTTTAGACCATAAGGGCAGCCACCACCAACTCTGGTAGTAACTGCTTCTGCTGCTGACATTCTCAGCAGGAACGTACTCCACAGATTACTACTGGCTTTTGTTTAGCATGCTCCTCTACAGCCACCCTTACACTGAGGATAAATATCCAAGCACAAAGTAAGAACGCTATTTCTACAAAAAAGATACTGCAAGGAAGTGTAGCTCATTCTGACTAAAGATCATAGTGCCACCACTGTGGCACATGGCAGTGTAAGGTGCCATATAAATCATTACACTGAACCTTTATTACTATTTAAAGTATATAAATATATTTCCTGTTACTGGCTATAATCTTGCCACTAGACAACCATAAGTAAACATCGGCTTCCTTGCCCCAAGACAAAATATCCATGACACCTGAATTTTGGCTTTGAAATAAACACAGGAATTATGTAAAAGGAAGCAAGTTACTTTATTACTAGTGTGTCAATATTACAAATTGTTCTCAATTGTCAGGAAATACTGCATTCAAATGTTGAACACTTAACAAATACCCTTTTAAATGGACAGTTGTTTTTAAAAACTTTACAAACTTTAAAAACAACTTCTAGTGCCTCATGCACCCAGTGGTGCCCAATGCTCACATTGTACTTGCACAGCTTTTCCTCCTTTGGTGTATCTTTACTACTAATTAGAAAATTGCAACTTCAGCAAGTACTGGATCCCCCAGAAGGAAGTAAAACAAGGTGTCATTCATCATCGGTGCTTATTAGTATCAGCCCATCACTCAGAAGGCATTATCTTAAATGTTACAAAATTTCAGATTTTTATTAATCCTTACTTTAACAAAATATTTTCCTAAAATAAATTTTCTTTTAAAATCCCTTCATACTATACTCTTAAAACTGATAATAGGGTGTGAAAATCACATGAAAAACAATAAATGATCTGTTATTATGCTCAAAAGACTATATATTCTATGAAATTCAAACTACACACAGGTAATACTCTATTCATTCAGCATTTGTTCAGTAAAATGCAAACATAATGAGATTTTCAAAAGTGCTAGGAGGGTTTCCCTGTAGCCCCCATAATATTGTACTATTTCTATAAAGCTATTCTTGGGAGACATCTAGCCAGGAGTTTTACAATATCACACAGATGGTCTTTTCAATTAGGGTGAAGGGAGATAGAAGCCAGGATACATATATCTAATTTTAAAAGACACAATTCTAAGGCTCTGATCAAGGACATGGTGATATTTTTCCCTGCTTGTGCTTACAATATGCACCTGAAGTACAAAAGGGAGAAATGAAACCGTAAGGCTTGTCCTAACTGGCCACAGTGGAGAAAACAAAAGACATAATAATTCAGAATGGTTATTATTTCCAAATATTATTTAATTTTGAACCTCTCGCCTGCTTTGTTAGAAGCAGTGAAAAGAGTCCACTTCATTAAAAAAGACACATGTGATAACTCTAAAGTGCTCACTAAAAGGGGCTCAAGTTATTCTAAATGACTCGTACTGTACCTGTCAACGTCGAAGGGGAAGCAGAACTTGGGCACAGTCTGTAGTACCTCCTGCAAATGCAAGTTAAAAAACATTTTAGAATATTTTTAAAGATGCAGTTAAAACATTTTTTAGATGTTTTTCTAGGGGAAAAAATACGTTTTGTTTTTTAAGAAAAATAACAAGTTTCTAGACTGAAATAATTGATGATTAGAAAGGAATTAAGTGTGTGCTTTGGCAGATTGCACTGACAATACCATAGAACCCCCAGGAGGGGACGGCCTGGCCTGAAGGGTATTAACACCCTTCACATCCCCGCTGGGATTCCCTTCAACAAGGCCATATGGATTTTACAAGAAGCACCACACCATATGGGTAAGCTACTTGTACCACAGACTAGCCACAGGGACTTCTGACAGATCCTGGCTCAAAGATATAAATGTTGTTTCAATTAAAATGCAGGCAGAGAAAAGGGAATGAAGTTGGCAGCAGAATGAATTACTGGGAGGTGTAACAACTCTGCATGTCCCACAGTACAAAGGTTTATTAAAAAAAGGACTTTCTATAGGTAAAAAAAACACATTTATATATTTCAACTAAGTAAATTCAACAACAGTAACAGAAAGTTTTACCTCAAATAACACTCTTTAAGAAATGTGTATCAAAAACAGCTCTTAAATTTAAAACAACATAGCTTCTATTCTGTGTATTTTCATTTATAATGGCCTAATATAAAGATCAATGTTTTAATAAAGTATAGAAATAACCTGACTGATTTTGAAACCTGCAAGTGATATTAGTCATTATAAATAATTTAAAAAGATTTTAGAAATCACACATTAACAATGTCAACAAAATGCAAATAATTGTCACTCATGTGGCAAAAAAATATTGAAGAACTATTTTGTCATATATGGAAAACTTGAAATTAGCTCTGATTCAGTTGAAGATAACATCATACAAGTCCAGGTGATTTTACAAGACAAAGCAGCAATTATGAGGATGTTCCTAATTACAGAGAAAAAAGAGCAAGTATATTGATGCAGTAGCCACCCCACCCAAAAAAAAAAAAACATCTAGTACCACCTGGCCAATAAACTACACCCAAAAAATCATCAATACATGAATATTTATACCCTGTCCAGAAACACAGGATTGAGCGGTTTAAAGGAGAATTTCTCACATTCTTTCAAAATGTAGACTGCAGTGAGGTATTCATTAAAAATAAAACACTATAAACTTCCAGTGCCAACACCTAAAAGCGCATCCAGCCCTAAGTTTCTGATGCAGGAAGAAAAGCAACAGGAAGGCCTCCTCAGTCTTCAGGGCAGGGCACCTGCTTTGTTGGTGAACATGTGCCTCTACTTTGGTATGAGCACAGACCCCAGACTTATTAAAAGCTAGCCTTTCTACCTGAAAATATTTTGTCACATGTTATTGTTGAAAGAGTCGCTAAATTTGCAATAATTTAAATTACTTCAACTGAAAGCAGTTTATTACGAGAACAGTTCCTCTGACGATGGCTAGTCCTCACCTTGTGCTGCAGAAAGTGAAGCCAGTCACACTGAACACTAGCTGTCCCCTCTGAATGCTGCTCATAGAATTTCTCATAGAATTTCTGTAACAATAAAGATGTATATTCAAAATTGTCTGCTTCTGAATATACCCAAATTCCTAACATATTTTACATCAATTTTAAGACACAAATTAAGAAGACTTTCCTGTGAGTTGCTCAGGCTTTCACACCCCCTTCCTCCACAGGCAACACGCACACACGGCTGCGAAACAGCTTCAGCGCGTCCCAACTGGCAGAAGCATCCCTCAGGGGACAAGTTTTTAAACCTCCGCACTCTTTAAAATTCAGCCAGCCAGCAGGTCTATAGACTAGTGTATAAACAGTGTAGACAAAAAACCCTCTCTGCTTATGTCAGTGACAAAGCAGCCCAGCAGTTGGCCGTCTCTCCCCTGACAGTATAAGCCGGGTTTACACAGATCAATAGCTGGAAGCCCTACCTAGCTCCCAGGGCTGGTTTTCTTCCTTAATTACAGGTGCTACTCAAACTGAAGTTAAAAAAGAAAAGACAGACAGCTGGAGGAATAAAATACATGTGAAGAGTTTCTTCTATCTTTTTAGCAATAATGTTAATTGAAAATTGTACTTAGATGTTTACTGGAAGTGTTCATAAAGTCTGACATTTCCATTATACAGTGTTTTTTTACCACATGCATGTGCACGCACACACACACACACACGCAATTCTAGATGGGCATCCACAGATTATGTGAAAGGCTTAAGATAATACTCTTCAAAAGTTACAGTTCTTTGTTTCCTACAGGCTTTTGTTTTTATGAAATATTTAATTTCCTTAGCCAAGAAAAATTATTTGGGTTTTCAAAACCTCTTAATTTTCTAAATTTTATGTTTATAAAAAAAGAACACACTAACATGTCAAATGTTAAAAACAGAAATAACAAAAATTAGGAATAGCAAAATACAAGGGTCAATAACAAATACACCTGCATATGCCCTAAAAACAACGTATCTCCTAAACACATGATATAAATAACTGGAAACAAAGATTGATGAAAATTCATTCATTTTTTTTTTTTGGTCCCATATTCTGAATCTATACGAACAGGCATTACGGTCAAATTGATCTGGCAAGACAGAGTAAACTACTGGTGTCAGAGTGGTATATTACCAGTTAGAATTATAAGTTGGTCAAACAAAAGGGGAAACAGCATTTAAGAATACCTTTTTTAAAAATTAAAATATGTGAAGTTTACCTCCTGATTAAAATTTCAGTAACTACAAAGGTCTTAGAATTTCTCTGAGAAAAATCTAAGATGAAAGGAGATATGTCATTGTTGATGTCAGCAATCCATTTCCCTCTTTCTGAACTACTTCATCTCTGACCCAGTACTGAAATACTGGGGTACTCTGAAGTTCCATATATTCCTCTCTTCCATACTTAATAAAGTGTATCTGCCTAGGCAATTTGATCTGTACCCAAGGGTTCAACTGTAACTACCAAATCTCTTGGTCTCATACTTTAGATATTTCTGTGAACTTCAGGATTTTATATCTACTCTCTGGTACCAGTTTCTGGATGTTCCCCCAGACATATCAAATTCTGAATGAGCAAAACTGAAGTCATTCTTTTAGTTATAGTTCTTATCACCTAGAATAGCAGCACCGTCTGCCGAGTAACTCTACCAAAAACGTGGCAGACCCCTTTCCTTCCCTGACCCTCATATGCACCCAATCATTCATCAAGTCCTGTTAATTCAACTTCATGGCTACCTTGCCCCAGCAGTTCCCAAGGGGAGGGCAAAAAGGATTACTAGAAAGATCAAAACACATTTGATTGCCTACACTACAGACCCATTAGGGTCTTGACTCTTAACTTGGTTTGAGTAGCACCTATAATTAATAAGTAAGACTAACTTTATCAATAAGCTTAATATATGTAAGAAATAGTTATTCTTTCAGCACAAAAAGTGATACAGTAGACTTGCTCAGGGACTGATGAATTCAACTCCCTCCTGGAGGACTCTGGAGTCTTCAATCCCGCTCTGCTATCTGAGCTCGCTGGGTGTGTCCTCAGCTATCTTCACACAGGGTCACAAAATGAGCTGCCAGAGCCCAGCACGGCCCGTGGAGACAGGAGTGTGCAGAGGTCAGCACGGCCCACAGAGACAGGAGTGTGCAGAGGTCAGCACGGCCCGCAGAGACAGGAGTGTGCAGAGGTCAGCACGGCCCACAGAGACAGGAGTGTGCAGAGGTCAGCACGGCCCGCAGAGACAGTGTGCAGAGAAAGCTGCATCTCTTCTGTGAGTCTTTTTCTATCACTGAGAAAACTTTTCCCAGAGGCCCCACTGGATGATTTTCCATTATATATAATTAGCCAAAAAGGTCACAGCCACTCCTAAACTAATCACTGGCAAGGGAAATGGTTATCCATGCCTGGCTTACCTTAGACTACTTAGAGGAAAAGTCAGAATTCAAACCCAATCACTATCTGGTAACCATGACACATCTAATTATAAAAAGGGTTGAGTGAGGTGTCATATTTACTTAAGACTCCTCACAATAATTTAATCAAATAAGAATCAAATTTATGCCCAAGGTTTCAGGGAAAATATAAAGCAATTTTAGGGTATAGGGTAATTTTCAGTTATCCATAATTTTATTCATTTAATTAACACTTTCAAAATCATTTTGTAACATGGGGGCTATTTGTCAGATTTAACCAAATTTTTCACAAAGGCCATCAGTTTCTAAAAAGATGATTACTTAATTTTGAATATTATCTCCCAAAGTAAGTAAGAAATGATTAATACATATATTCAATCTATTTGTGCTTTACACATGGAAATGATAAGCTTTTTTTCCCCTAAGGAAACATGCTCTGAGTTACTTCATCACAAGCAGGTAGCTCCGTGCAGAGCTGAGATTCCCCAGTTGTGCGCTGAGCTGTCCAGGGCACCACAGAAACTCACAGAGGCACTGCCAGATGCTTAACGTTTACAGCCGTCCTAACAGGGTAATTAATTCAGTATGCATTTTATTAAAAGGTATAACTACATTAACATGGTACCTACACATCTAACAACTCCTTTAAACATCTTCTGATTTTTTTAAAGAAATTTTTTAAACTGAGAGAATCTATTTTAAACTTAGAGTCAAGTTATAACTGACAATAACTGAGCCCACTGTGGGATTTTTCTCTTGGCTTTTATTTTATTTTTACATACTATTTCAATTGGAAATAAATTCTTCTTTCATCCTTCCTCCTAAATTAGGAAAGGCACTGTAATTCTGTGAACTCTGACACTAAAATCATTGAGACTGTCAACTGTAATGAAGTTATTTTTCACTCTCAAAAATTAAGAATGATTTTTTAATTGGCAGATTTAAATAACTGCCATGAAGCAAATACAATGTGCTATAAAAAGAGCTATGGTGATGAAATACAAGTATCGAGGATTCTGGTTCTGTGTATATCAGACAGGTCACGAGACCTCTGCAGTCTACAATTGACCCCTGTCATTTAATCTAATGCCAATAAAAAAGCCTAGATTCAAAGAAGGACACTGATTTTACAAAGAATATGCATATTTACAATTAGATAGGTGGTTTGCCTGGCAAATGCAAGGTACATAATTTCCTTCATTAATTTAAGATAACAAGAAGCATTTAAAAAGCATGAAAGTAAGGTGTGTGTATAAATATATACATGTGTATAGATATATATGTGTGTGTGTATATACATATATATATATATAAGCAAATGGGTTTCCAACATTTTTGGCAAAAAATTCTATTATGAACTGCCTGCAAATTTTTATCCCTAGATTAACACTAACTTCTAATCAAGGATTTGAATAACAATTACCCAACTCAAAGAAAAAGCCATTTACGAAGACTTGCTATTCCTCCCCCCACAATATCATATAACCTCCCAGCCCTTTCACACTAATATGTTTATAATTTGCCTCATTCACCCCTTTTAACTAGTAACATTTTCTAGATCAAAGGAAATATATAGTAAGATAGAATACCTTTTTTTTACATTTTTTGCCTATATTTATTTGCATTTATATATACTAAGGCATTTAAAAATGAGTATCAATCATTTAAATCAAGATAAGAAGAAATAAATAGGAAAATGATCTGATTTTTAGGAAGAAACAAGTTTCATGTCAGTCAACCGGCCAGCGACCACGACTCCCACCCACAGTCAGATGCGACGGAGAGCAAAGGAAGTGTGAGTCCTGAGTTTAGATCATTCAGAAGTAAGTGCGCACAAAGTCACAGAAGACAAGGACTGAGGAAGTACCCCACCACCGGGAGCCCGAGAGATGCACAGGAAGACGTGGTACCTACATGCAGCATCTTATCCTGGAGTGGACAATGGACCACCAAGATTTTTTTTCCTGCTATAAAGACAATTATTGGGATAAATGGTGAGATTTAAATGAGGTCCTAGGATTAGATAATAATATTATATAAATATTAATTTCCTCATTTTGACAGTTGTTCTGTGATTAGGTAGGACAGTGTCCTTGTCTTTCAGGAAATACACAATGAAATGTTGAGGGGTTTTCAATTTAACTTCAGTTGATTCAGATGGGAAAGAAGAAAAACAAAACACACACATACACATGGGTATCAGGACAAGAATGATAAAGCAACTGTGGTAATAATCTGAACAACTAGAAATCTGGGTGAAAGGTATACAGGATGCACTCTTCCATCATTTCTCTGAATTTAAAATTATTTCAAAATGAGAAGTTCAAAAAATAAAAAATCGGTGCGTGCCCACATGCTACCAGGCACATGCACTCAGAGGCAGAGCAGGTCGAGTGCAGGGTGCTCTGGGGTCAGGCAGCCGGCCTGAGTTGCGGCTCTGTAGCTACGGTCTATGCAGGCAGCCGCCTCACCCAGAAAACAGGCAAAGGTTACTACCTATCTTACAGGATTAATTGGGGATTTACATGAAGATGTAAGTCAGAATTAAGTAAAAGTCCATGTGAAATGATTAGACAATGTTAGGCAGATTTAAAAACCTTCAGCAACTGTTAGCTCTTTTATTAATTAGTTACTTGTTTGAA